TGTAGTGTTTTTTAAAAACTATATTCTCATACTTAGGAAAACACGTCATTGTTTGCCTTAGGTGCTTCATAGATCAAATATGAGATCAACATAAGAGATAGATAAATAACCTAACACCTCTATAATGTACTGAGGAGAAAGACAAAGACTAGACTTGTTTGCAGTAATTTTGGTTATATATGCATGATCATAAACTTGTTACTACATGCTGGAATTAGGATCTAGGAAATTAGAGGGAAGAAACCCAAGCCTCTTTTTCTGGCTGTGACTCATATTCAGATATTTATTTTTGGACTTTTGTTCATTCCATAAACGGCAGGGGGCATACTTTCTTTTCTGATCTTTTTTTTTTAATCCAGATGTTCTTGATATCTGTTTAACTCTGCAGTGCTATTGCTCTTTGTTTCTTGGATATATGTAATACACAATTTTGGAAATTATTGAATAGTCTGGGCCCATAAAAGGTGAAATGCAACTATAATTTTATATCTTTGAAATGTTTGAGAAATTATTAGGTAAATGTTACATTTAACATGCATATAGATAAAACCCAAGTTAGTCAATTTCTTGTTTAATTTAGCAGGCGTGAGTGAACGTGATGTTTAAAGTAAAGTGAGAAAAAGTAGTTGCGATTTAATTTTTTTACTCAGACTAGTAGAATATATAGCATTTTGAGATATATTAAGAAGATTAGTCACAATGATTTTTGCAGCTGGTTTTATATGTGTATGGCTTTAAATCTTGTAATTTAACATGGTTTGTTGGTAAGTACTATTGCATAATCCTTACAATACCACTAATTTTAGTACCTCATCATACATTTCATTGTTCCATGTGTGCAAGGAACATTATCAAGAGTAGCTTCTTAAAGGCAGGGATATGACATATTTTGGGATGACTGGGGTCATGGTGGGAGCTCATCAAATATTAATACTTATTGAACCAAATGGAAAAGGGGTCTAAAAGTTGGAACTTTTCCACTTGCAAATCATTACATCTCCTCCCATCCTTCTTGCCTTCCAAGTCACTAATCCTGTGTTCATCATACTTGTGCCACATCCATGCCGAATCTCAGTGGTCAGTAACAAAACTAGAAAGGCAAATAACATTATGTATTCAGTCATCCTTTAGTCTTTTTTGTGGAAAAATTTTCAAACCTTTAATGATAAATACCATTGATTATGTGCTGAGAACTTTACAGATATTATTTTACTTTAATGAACGGTAACTCTGAATTTGGTAGTATTATTTTCTCATTTGTATAGAGGATGCTGAAATTTTAAGCTAAGTCAAAGAACCAGGATTTGATCAGTGTTCTTAATTGCTGCCTCCCATGGCCTGTCAGGGGTGCGATGGGATGGATATTTCCCAAGTTTGGGCAGACTGTCTCAAGAACATAAACCATCCTTTTCCTTGGAGGGAGGTAATGGACATCATGGTATTACTCTAAATTAGTATCCACATTCATTCTCAAGTTCATTTAGCTCCTGTGTTTTTAAAAGGTAATTTCTTCCTACCATGAAAATTGTGAATCTAAAATCATTTCCTATGTTAGGCCATTTTTCTCTATTGCTAGAAATAAACATTCTAAGATTTTAAATTGGAGACAAAACTGATTCCATATTCTATTTATGAACGCAGAAATAAAAATAGTTCAAATGCTATGTTTGTTAATTTAGAATAATTTTTTGAAGGATTCAGCTTGCTTTTGCAATAGTGCCATAAAGTCTCTTAAAATCATTTAAGGCTGGAATTCTCATCTGTGCTGTGGAGTGTCTTCCAGCTGTGCCAGCATCTCACACTCTCATGATAGGCCTTTTCTGGCTGTAGTCAAGTGTGACCACCTCCTATTTTTCCCTCCAAGTGCCTCCCATGGAAATTCTTGAAAAATAAAGCAACGTTTCAACCCACACTTTAATGAGTGGACTGGAATCCCTGTCCTTTTAGCTATCTTAGTAGTGACTCATAGAATTGTCTAGCCCTCGCTTTCCTAACATTTTCCATTCACTGTAAGTTATTTCTTCATCTTCTTTTGCTGCTCAAAAGTGCTTTCTCATGTTTGCCAGATGAAAAATGAGAAATAAATATTAATAAGACCTATAGTTTTAAATTTGATGGCACTATTTGAGCTTTTTAATACAGCCTTAGTGATCTGGTGTTTGGCAGAAGCACCTCTGAAAATGGACAGTTAAGATACAACTAAAAACTACTTGACTATAATTTACTAAATGTATGCCAAGCTGCAGTCTGGCTTGCCCATGCCATTTAGTGCTCTCTTCTGTTTTCAGTCATTTGTTTTTCCATGTGTGAGCTTTGATAGAGGCACCCTTAGGCCATTCAGAGAATCCAGGTATTTAATATCAAAGTATAATTAAATAATGATTGTCTAGTAGAATAAGGTAGTTTCAGAAACATATGCCAAATATGATATTATGATATTGATATAAAACATGTTCATTGGGATAACTTGAGGGGACAGGCAACATCCTAATTAAATGATTTGTGTAACCGGAGTGTTCATGCCTCAGCCACTTATTTGCTTTATGAGAAGATTCTCTGGTTATATTAAATAAGACACAAATATACAAAAAATATTATAGAAGTCAGAGAAATTAATCTGCAAAGGACATTCTGTTTTATCAAAAACATTTCTCAGGGATAGATTAAAAACTGTCCCCTTTTCCTTTAAAGGACCTCTTTTGCCAATAACTCAGAAATTATATCTCTGCCACTGTTCCTAATCAGAAGCAGAGCATCTAGAGGGAAGACATTGAGTGATATGACCTTGGATCTTGCCAGTTCTGCCATGGTAGTTGTGGTATGTGACCTTCTGGATATCAGACATTTCATCTCAACTTCAGTTTTTTCTTTCTATCAGATAAAGATAAATAACATTTCTTGCCTTGTCTATCTTGTAAGAATTTTGCAAGCACCAAAAGAAACGATACAGATGAGAAATTGCACTATAAATGTAGGTTATTATTAGTCAGAACTCAAGGGCCATTTTCAAATTGTCTTCACTTCCTTTGGAGGTGCAGGCCCTGGAATTATGAGCAATGTTTACTTGTCGATTGGTCCAGGACTTTAACAGGTAAAATAGAGTTGTGGTTTTTCAAGCCTTGGGGAAAGTTTTGACATATGGTCTGCTATTAGGGGAACAGTGCCAACTTTTGTCATGGTGACCTATCTTGGAAGACAGATGTTCACATTCAAGGACAGCAACCGGCAGAGGGGCACTCACATAATAGTATGCTGGAGACTAACTCAGGGGAGTTCATATGGATATCACAGAGGAAGAGCCTTCATAAAATAACAACAGGAACAACCAAAAACCCCAAAACAACAAGAATGACTCTATCCCACACAATAAAACACCCCAGCAAAGTGCTTGTTATCCAAGTGCACCTCATGTAGTCTTGTGCCACATGATGACATATTTGCCACACTCAGCAATGGACTGCATGTATATTATAACAACGATCAGAGCAACAGGCTCTGCCGAATAGCCTAGGTGTATAGTAGGCTATACCATTTAGATTTGTGTAAGCACAGTCACACTATGATGTTTGCATAACAGCAAAATCACCTATAACTGTATGCCGGTCAATCCTTGAGTTTGTAAGGACTGCCTATATTTGACTACAAAACAAGTGGTTATTGATAGGAACATTCAAATATTAAAAAATAATAATGAAAAGACTTTTTATATTCCAAATAATTGAATATCTATTCTGTTTTGAAAAAAAAAAAACCATAAACATCAAATGAGATTTGGTAAGATCCTTGGGGGCAGAGAAAACTGGGAAGTAGCATGAAACATCTGATTGGGTGAGCATTTCTTTCCTTCTTTTATAGTATTTGAAGAATTCTGATATTTTTACATAAAATAGGTAATACTTCATTATCTCTTATACTTGAACTAGGCATTCTTAGCATTTTTAGCTGTTCCGTTAACAGAACCAGGTCTGTATAAAGGTCTGTTTCACCATGGCATATTAATTTGAATTACAGGTTATAAGAGGCTTGTTCTTGATGAATGGGAAGGACTTTTGCAAGATCCTCTATCAGCTTAGAAGTGACATTTATCACTTTCGTTCACAATCTTTTGGCCAGAATGAGCCGCATGCCCTACCTAACCAAAAGAAGATCAGAGAGTACAATTTCCATGTGCCTGGAACGGAAGAGGGTAGAACAAGAAGTATTTGGCAAATAGCTCTACTAATTACCACAAAAAGCAGAGACAACTTTTGCAGAAATTAAAAATCTGTCTACTATTATTTGCGAGCTTACTATGTGTCAAATTCTGTATTAAATGATTATTATGCATTCTTTTCTGTAAATCACACAATTAGCCTATGAGGTAAGTTGTATTACCATGTTTACTTTAAAACTGGGAAAAGAGAAGAGAAACTTAGTCACTTGGTCCAAGGGAACAGAGGTAGTGAGTGGTAGAGTCAGATTTGCCTGACCCCAGAGGTAGCAACTGTAGTCATACTTCACTCTTAAAAGTATCCACAATTGTCTGTGTTCAGATTTAATGTGATGAACATAGTGATGAGATCTATATATTTTCATAACACATTTCACTCCTCCAGTTCTGAAAAGAGGAGCCTAAGGAAGAAATACCAACCCATTGGCTGAAGATGTATCTCCTGATACATCTACAAAACCAACTTCTATACTCCTTGCAGCTAATGTAAGTTTGACCACTGAGTGGGGAATAGAAGCTTAATGCTTATTTAGTGTAGGTTTAACTGGGGATTTTTGAAAATTTGGCTTTCTTGGTATGGAGACTGATTATAGAATAGCCATCTTGTGACTCTGAAGCAATAGAAGATGCTGATGATATTGTGTTATTGCTGAACCAGCATAAGATTGGTAACCTCTAAACATGAAAGTGGAAAAATGCACTTATTTTTGATAAAGCACTGTTATTGGGTTTTTGATACATATATCTGAATGCAGTTCTCAACACATACCTTTCTCTTGGTGATGGTGGTTGTGGCAGGGGGTGGTCCATACCCTGGAGCTTTCTGAGGTTCGGCTGGTGGTGTGTGGATGAGATGAGCATATTAAAAGGGCCAAGGATGGAGTAGAAACCTCCTCTTATCACTTTCAACAATTCATGCCTTGACTAACATAACTAGGAACTCTTTGCTCCCTGCTGTGATATTCTGCTTTTTATGTCTTGTTCCATTTTGATCCTTTGCAACCTTATGAAACTTTAATACTCAGATTCCATTCAGCAGCTCCATTCAACATCTCCCATTCCTGCCCTTCCCTTAGTTAGCCTTGTCCCATTGCCTCACTTGGCCTGAGGAGAGAAGGATTTTCATTGCCAAGCATGCTCCTGTCTCAGGGCCTTTGCAGTTAGTTGCTTACAGTGTTCACAGATATTCACATGCCTCGTTCTCCTACTTCCTTCAGGTCTTTGCTGAAATCACCTCCCTAGAGAAACCTCCTGACCACCTTTTGCCCTGCTAGTTCTTTTTAATGGAACTTATATACTTATTAGTTTCTTTCTGCTTTCTGAGGAATATAAGTCCCCATAGATTAAAGAATTTGTTTTGAGCATTACTACATCTCCTTAGAGCAGTCTTGCATGTAGTACACACTCAGTTAATATTTGTTGAATGAATTAATTTTTGCCAACAGTTGAACTTACTGTTTTTAGAGATGACATTATTGGCAGTCATTCTGATCATAGGGTGTAGCTGTTAATAAAAAAGTTAATATGAGACTGAGATTCTTTGCCTCATGAAGCAAACATAAAGATGAGTTGGTGACGACTGCAATTTTATTCTTCTTAAGTCACTATTTGGAGAGTCTGACTTTTTGAGACACTGTCTATTGAATATCCAATAAACTCAAAGTCTTTTAGTCATATAAGTGGCTCCATTCATTGCAATTTTGTACTAGGCAGGCCACACAGCCGTAGTTCTTTCCTAATTATTCATAACTATGTGGCATTTTTGGGTCAGTGGTTTGATGCATAAAGTCCAATTTCCCTTAACTCTCATTGCTTATGATGAACTTTTTTGGCTTTGAATCTAATTTCTGCTTAGATATTTTGCCCAGTTTCGCCATTTACTAGCTATATGACAGTGAGCATATCACTTGATTTAGTTGCTTTATCACTTCAGATTTGTATTTATAAAGTGGAAATAATAATTGTAATAAAAACACTCATCCTGACAATCTCATAGGGGTTTTATAAAGATTAAGAGATATAGTAAATATTCAAATTTATTATGAATTATGCAAGTTTATTACAGAATGTGCAAATATATATTGTTTTAAATTCACTTTTATGTATTACATAAGAAAAATAGTATACTTACTAATAGTGTTAGAATTATGGGTTAATTGTAAATTATAATTCTATGCTTTCTTAAGTGGGAGGCTGCAGATAAATTCAAAGTACATTAATTGCTTCCTCTTGATTGAGAATTGTATTCTTGTTGGGAAATTGTTTACTTGGGTCTTATCCCTAAGATATATAAAAGTCCCTAAGGCTATAAGCCTCAATTGATCTATTTGACTTATTTAATATAAGAAATATTTCATAGTATTTGTCCAAATGTAAAATGTTTATAGGATGTTCTGGAAAATACAGTACTGATGGAATTGCAGTTGTCTGGAGATGTTCATTTTGGAGCTATAATGGATTAGAAAATCCTCTAAAACAAACAAGTAATACTTGTTCTTCCATGACTTGTAACTAAAGACCTGCATAATATAAATTCTTACTGTATATCCCTGGATATTTCACAAATAATTTAAGAAATAAATAATACACAAAATGGATTTAGAGAGTTTGCACAGTAATTTCAAGCATAGTAGGAAGCAGCAGCACCTATATCTACAAGAGTGAGCTTGACAGGGTATTTATAATATATCAAAATAAATGCTGCAAAAAAATTAAATGTAATTCTTCAAGTTATTGTAGGGAAGGATACTTGAATCATGGAAATCCAGGAAAAAGGAAATCTGTGCTGAAGTGATAAGTGTATATTAAAATAACTAATTTAAACTTTCTGTCTTAGTTCTTTCAGTCTTCTATAACAAAATATGATATGGTGGGTGACTTACAGCCAACAAAATTTATTTCTTACAGTTCTAGAGCCTGGGAACTCCAAGATCAAGGTGGCAGATTCAGTACCTGATGAGGGTCCACTTCTTAGTTCATAAATGACTGTCTTCTCCCTGTAATTTCACATGGTTGATGGAGTGAGGAAGCTTTCTGGGGTCCTTTTGATAAAGGCACTAATTCCATTCATGAGGGCTCCACCTTCATGACCTAGCCACTTCCTAAAGGTCCACATAGAAATAATACCACATTGGGGATTAGATTTCAAAATATAAATTTTGGTGGACACAAGCATTTGGTCTATAATACTTTTCCTTTGAATAAACTTTTGTATTACATCTGTTTAAAAATAATTTCAAGCTTTGTCTGCCTAATGGTATCTTCCTGTCTTATTCTGGTTGTAAGACATTTTAGACATGTTGTGTTCTGGTACTTATATTTGTAATGATAAAAATTCAATTCAGCACTTTTTGTAAACTCTTTTAAATAAGATACCTTATAATATACTAGCTACAAACTAATAAATCTTTCACTTTAAAATTTTGTTTTTATTAGCTTTTAAAAGTTAGGTTTTGATGTCTGGTTTAAAAGTATTTGTGTAGCTGGTCTGCCTTTTTTATAAAAATGCTGTCTTTACTGTACAACAACTGTTTTTTTCTTATTCATATGATATCTGTTTCTTTTGTCACTTAAAATATGTCACTTAAATTTCTGGAGATTTCTCTTTACTATCATCTAGGAATGAATGTTTCTTTTCTTTTTTTTTTTTACTCCTACTGTCTAAGCTTAATAATTGTCTGTTATTCCTTTTATCTTGAATACTTGTCTCCCTTCTCTTCTATCCATGTCCCCTTTCCTTTATCAGGTTCTTGCCATAATAGAGTATTCCAGATTGTCCTGTTCTTTATGTCCTTGTCTTCCTTCTATTGTCTCTCTTTTTGGACTAGAATTTTAAAAATATAATATTAAAATAGAGTTTGAAAACAAAAGTAATGCATTCATCTTAAGAATACTCCCATGCCCTTAATGTTGTAATTATCTTGAATAACAAATTCCAGAGGAAGAACAAACAGAAAAAATTTAAAATAAATATATTAAATATTTTCAGAGAGGTAAGGAAGTGTAATAAAAACCTGGAGTAGAAACAAACTCTTATGAAGAGGAACCAATTGGAGATGATAGCTATGAAAACATGATTGCTAAAATAATGAGCTAAAAAGAAAAGATATAGCCAAAGAACTAATTAATGAGCTGAACTATTAGAAGGCATTAGAATGGAATAAAGTAATAGAATGAATGAGAAAATAGTTAAGTGAAATGGAGAACAAAAGAAATATCAGTGTCTAATAACAGTCTCAGGGAGATAGAAAAATAAAAAAAGAAAACTATTTCAAGAAATAATTACATAGGATTTTCAAAAACTGGAGAAAAATGAAAGAATTCAGGTCGAAAGCTCAGAGTGTGCCAAAGAGGATATAGGAAAAATCCAACTTTAGACCCTTTATAATGAATTTTAAGAGTAAAGGTAAAGAAAAAATTCTAAAAGCTATTTGAAAGCAGGGCTTATGCCTTCTGATATTTTGTTGTTTTCCTGTTTCTTCCAAAAAGTATGCTTTGCAGATTGCTGATATATGATACATTTTCTTGACTGACTGAGTGACTGTTCTCCTTAATTATTAACCAAGCAAGAGGGTAATACCATTTATTGTCCTCCATCAAAATTTCCTGACTAAAAACCAAGAAGATAAAAAATTCCAGTGTCACCGAAAAATAATTTTTCCAGATGTTAAAAAGTTTTAATTATACATGGGAAGTTAAATAATTTTTTTCTAAAACTAGCTATTACTATCCCAATGTCTGGCTAGATGTAGAATATGTAGTTCAGCTTACAAAGAGAAATATAACAAAGCCACTATCGAATTGCAATTTGAGGAAAATGTGGTAGGAAATATTTCCTAAAATTGTTTTTTATCTACTTAGCAGAATTGTAATTGAAATACAATGATTTGTGCACATACATGTATGTAACCTTTATGTTCCTGGCAACATCCAAAGTCAGGTATGTTTTCTGTTTGTGTCATATTTCTGGAACTAAACTTAAGGAAATCATTTGCATAGCAATTCCCGAACAAATATGTTTATAAGAACCTATGATTGTCAGATTATTATATTCAAAAGATGACTTGAAACCAAATCAAACAATTAGTTTCGAAAACATTTAAGACAAATTCTATCTAACAATTTAAGTATAAATATGATTTTTAAAAGGAATTTATATCTATTTAGGCATGGTTTTGTGGGGTCAAGGTCCGAATTCACCCTTTGATCATCTCTTACTCTTATGTGACTTCATCTCCAGTACTGGCCACACTGTGGCCATTCTGGCTGGATGGCCACTGCTGACTGCATCACATTGCATCTCTACAGTTTCTATGATTTCTTGTTCTTGTCTGAGCTTCTCTCAGGTGTCTAATGCTGGCATTCTGGGAATGAGACTATTTATTTTCCGGGAGGAAATTCCCTACTTTTATTAGTAAAGGTAGTAAAAGTTTCTGGGAATACTGTTTGAGTCCCTACTATCCACCCACTGTGGAAATCTAAATAAATTCTGATTTTCCCTGAAGGAAAAGTAAGTTCGCTACTGCCAAACCATATTCAAACCCCGCCAAAGGGGACTGGCAGATCACCACTGTTTTGCCCAGTGTATTAATATTTGGTCAAGTAATACAGAGAAACACTGAAAACTGGTTTTTCTTTTAGAATATTTTAAATGAGTCTGTGATGAAGACGACACTATATGTACGAATCAGTATATCTAATGACAATATGGAGCCATATACTTTGGTTTTATTTTTAAATATATTGTGTTTCCATAGAATCTATTTATATCTTGTAGTTGTAGAGATCGTCCAGTGTCTTTACCAGTGTCAGAGCACAACGAAGAATGTTCCAGACCACAGTCTTAGGCTGAAGGAGGAGGAGAGACTGTTCGTTTCAAAGAGCTCCCGTACCTCTCCAAAACTCTGTATTTATTGCAGAGAAAGGCATTTAAGTTCAAAGCAAAAAACATACAAAGAAAATGTTTGGAAAGAACATATAGATAAAAATCTCTGGTGCTAGTAAACATATTATTCTAAGGAAACCTAGTTAGCGATATGCAACATATCCATATTTACCTTGGGATTCCTTGTGAGTCCTTAAGGCTATAAAGAAAAGGGCAGGGACCCAACATCAGTCACACGCCTTATGCATTCCAAAGCCTGCTGTATGCAGCTGGCTGATAAGCATTCATATCCTAAGTCCTGTTTGCAGGACTGCCAGATTTCTACCTTTCCCACAGACCCTTTACCCAGGACTTTATGCCTTTTCTAATCCTCTATGGTAGCTAGCAAAGGTTTTCTTGTTTCTGAAATCTAGTGTCTTCCAAAACTATAGCTTGAAAAGTAGCCCCGGCCCTGTGATTCTTAAGTCTAGGAAAAATGGCTGGTTAGGCTTTTGTACTGTCTGTGATGTTTTGCTCTTAAGGGGTATAAAGAGGGGCAAGAATTTATGATTGACCTGAATTCACAGGTAATAATTAAACTAGCCCTTGTGCTTTGAACTTGTTATTTGGCTAACTAAGCCATACTCATTTTGCTTACTTGATTTACTTTCATTCTGTGATGTGCTTCCGTGAATCTTGGGGTCATTTTAAGAACATTTTGATTTATTTACATTTATAGATAGTACTTATTAAAAGAGCTGTGGTTGGAGGACTTCTTATTTTGGTTTATTGGGTAAATAATATAATTAATAATTAGTACTTTTACTCATCATTTAATGTAGGTCAGTCATTAAATTATGTTTCATATTTGTTACCTAATTTCATTTCTACATATAATTTTTATTATCATCATCTTACAAATTAGGAAACAGTTAGATAGGCAAAATAATTTCCCCCAAGTTTTATAATTGGTGCATGGCAAAGATGAGATTCAAATGCAGATCTATTTTACTCCAAAAATCAATTTAATGTACAATGATGATCATTCATAAAATAGACCTTATCTATATTAACAAAATAAGAAAACCTAAACAAATGGATCAAATAACATATGAGATGAGAATTCAAAAATTTTGAAAACTACCAGGAAGTATGAAGTAAGACAATACATCATTGCAAATGAGAAAATAAATGTTATATTTTCAAAAACCTAAGTTTTGATACTATTTTCCAGAAATAATATAGAAATATTCCAACTTCTGTTTAAATATCTTTGTTTTTGAAGTAGATTTCTGAAATACTAGAGTCCGAAGTGAGTCAAACTTGTGTAATATGATTCATAAGTGAGCAATTCCTAAGGAAAATGTAAATGTGGCAATCAGACAATATTTTATGCAATATGGTAAGCATTCACTTGAAAACCAGCACATATTTAGCAATTTTTTTGAAATCTGATCTCATTCATAAAACCAGAAAAAAATCCCCAGGTTTTCTATGCCCTTAACCTCATAGGAGACAATTTACCATAAAAAAGCAAGAGGAGGTAAGGCATCTCACCAACCATGTAATCCAGTAAATATATGACATTAAATAGCATGTGGTGGTCATGACACATAGTGAATAAAAGTCCCAACACTCCACCACCTCCAACTCTGCTCTCAGTGTACAGGCTGCCTAATTTGGAGAAAAGAAATGAAAACTTGGTTTAGTCTGAGACAAAAATTTGAACTCATAAGCAATGTCTGTGTGGTGTGTATGAGACAGATTACCACAATTTCCTGGTAGCTTTATGTGCGATAGGAAGGAATATGTGTCAATATTTTCAGCCAGTTTTGACCTAAAAAGTGGTGATTCCATAATGATCAACCTAATACAAACACCAAATCAATTGGTCTATCATGTTGGCCTATTACAAACAATCAAAAAGAGTATTGTTATTTTGAAATAAAAAGTCTTTCTGTAGTCTTATATATTAGCAGTTAATGGATTAGTTAGTGGTGTTTAGAGGGAAAGGCTTAAAGTATAAATCAGAGTAAATTAATAGCAATTTGTAAGATTTGACTCCAAATTATGGGTACTAGCATTAATTCCAATAGATTGGAATTTTATTTTTTTATTTTAATTTTTTTATACAG